TATATGTATATATATATATATATATGTTTTTACTTATTTATGAATATATATATATATATATACATATATATGTTTACTATGTTACTTTCATGTTTGTTGTTTAATTTATTATTCTATTATTCTTGTAGATTTGGTTTAAAAATAGAAGAGCTAGATGGCGAATAAAGAAGATAAAATCCTTATTGCCTGAGGAGAAAAACGAACATTCTGTTGACAAATATATAGAATATAATATGAGTAATAGAATGTGTGGAAACTATATGACCAATATTAGCTGGCAGTTAAATGTAGCTAATGAAAAGGTTCCTCCTCACTACTCGTGGCGTGGGCTGAAGCATCTTAATAATATTTATTTACCACCAGAGAGCGGTCCAGAGGAAATAGATTATCATTATATTTTTTCTCCTGTTGTGTAGTAATTATTTGTAATCTATACGGTGTTCTGTATCATATTTTATTTCCAATAAATCTCAGCGCAAATACTAAATTATGTAGTACCAATTTATCAAACTGATTATTTAACAGGTGCTAAACCACTTTGAGTCAAGAAATAAATGAAAACTGAAATAGCTGTAAAATACTAATTTTCACAGTCAATAATTTTCAATCTAAAGTCCGACAAAAATTTTAAGTTTCAATATTTTAAGGAGCAAAGTAAAATATAATAAACTTTGTTCATTTTAGATGAATGTGTATATATATGTGCGTGTTTGAAAAAGCAAAGGGGAAAAAATTGGATCAAAATGAACTAGATGGAAAAGTATATTTATATTAGGAGAAATATTTTTTTAAGGCGAAGCTTCTGATGAGCACTGGAGAAAAGGGAAAGTTTTACAGTTTGAAAAAATACCTGTCTAGTGTGTTTTGTTTCATTGTTTGTTGTTAGGCATAAAACTACACAATGGGGTATTTGTGTTGTGCTCAGTACGGGTATCGAAACCCGATTTTTAGCGTCAAAAGTCCAGAGACACTTTCCTCTGAGACACTGGGAGACAGAATATGGTGAGCGTTAATTTTAGTGTTTTGGTTTGTTTCTTTTGTTTGGTTGGTTGGTGTTAAGCACAAAACTACACAAATATCTATCTGTTCTGTGCAAACCGTGGGTATTGAAACCCGGTTTTTAGCGTTATAAGCCTTCAGACTTTCCGCTGTACCACTGGGTGATTTTATTGTTTCATTTTTGCTTATTTGCTGAAAAGTTTATTCCAAGAAAGTGAGTGATTT